CTAGGTCTCACCATCATTGGATGAACCTAACTAAACCAAATCAACAAATTTTGAAATAATTAAAGTGAGCAAAAGCAAGCCAAGGCCGCCTAGTCCTCTTCTTGACCGAAATTGCTTATCTTTTCTTGAAGCCTTAGGAAGCTTGTGCTATAAGCTTCTAACTTAGCTTGCTTCCCAAGCAAGCTAAGGTAGAAGCTTGCTCCACAAGCCATCCTAACTAGGGAGGTTGGTCAAGCAACCAAACCATGGTTCTGTTGAACCATGGTTAAGGTTAGCTTGCTCCATAAGCTACCTACTTCTATAAATTTGTAAACCTTCCATTTTCCCTCACTTTTGAGTATATGAAATCATAATTTTTCACTAAAATTCTCTCATTCAAGAGTCACAAATTTCATGGACAAGAAGCTTCTGCCCTAAGTTTCTTAACAAAGGATTTCCTCCTTTGTTCTTTGGTTCCTCAAGTTTCTTCCTTGATCGAAGCTGTATCCGATCAAATAAAACAATTAAATGCAATACTAGGAAGTTGTCCTAGGTCATCTCCCAAGGTCCATTTGTCTCTGTCAAAGGCTTAAACACGAAGTGGGGGGGAGGAGTTTGTTCATATTTTTCAGTAATACAGCAAGTAAAATAGATTGACTCCTTGATTCGGATTGTAACTCTCTTATCCTTGGTTCACAATGAGATTACTCTGTCAACCACTTAATCCTTGTTCCATCCGAGTTAACCAACTAAGCGAAGATTAACTCAAGACTTCCCTACACGAATTAAGCAAACGTATACAACATTGAACCTCTCATAGATTAAGCAACTGTGGCATTAAGGACAACTCATCAAGCATGAACACCTTAATACAAAGATTTAATGAAGGATGACCAAGTAGAACAGAGATATGCAAAACGTATCCAACATCAAATAGAGATTACAACCCACAGCAAGGAGCCAACCCCAAGGGTTTAGCCTTCCATTAAAACAAAAATAGAAACAAAAATAGAAACGAAAATGCAAGGAAGAAGAAGGACAAGAAATAAGGAATCTGTATTCTTTAAATATAAAGGTTCAGTTTAGTTTCTACAACCAGAGAAGAGAAGAGCAAAGAAAAACGCAAATGGAGAAGAAACGTAAAAAACTAGAGATACCAGAACAGAGAGCAAAAAAATACGTAAAACCAAGGGAAGGAGGCTCCAAAACGTGGCCATATCAGATTCTTAATGTTAGTGGCTGCCAAGTCAGCCCTAACCTAGACGCCGAAGACCTAAAACGCAAATGGGCCCCCTCTGGATGTGTCTGGCCCAAAACTGAATAAAACAAGGTTAACAAAAATGTAAGCATATTGCTGATGTGGCGCTGACGTGACACATTATCTCTTGAAGTCCAAAATTAATATCCAAGCCCAAAATTGCTCCACAATTAACTTGAAAATAATTGATAAACAAAAATTAGACCAAGTGAATCAGAATTAATTAAAATTTCAATTACTGGCCCAATGAAGCCCAAACAGTAAAACTATACAATTAATAAGCGATTAAGCCCAAATCAACAATTAAAATAAGTACAGAGAGATAAATAAATAGGGGAAAATAATGACTCATCAAATTCCCCCACACTTAGCTTTTTGCACTCCTGGGCAAAATCATGAAGCAGAGCAATGGATAAATCCAAAACAACAAAGAGAGCCACATGGAGAAAAACAAAAACAAAAACAACAACACACAAACAGACAGAGCTACATACTCCTCATTGAATCCTGAGAAAAGAGAGGAATAGACAACATGCAACACACAAAGAGCCAAAGAAACAAGATGCCTATGAACATCATCCAAGTATTTCTAAACATGGCAAGAAAATCAGTCAGTTCAAGAGGTAACTCAAAAGCAACAGAACCTCACAAGATATGCATTGTATCACTGAATCTCTCAAGTGTCTAGGCTACTATATACTCTCGGAGCACTCATGAAAAACAAGCAACAGATAGACTTGGCAAGCCTCTAAAATCAACACCCAGCACACAAGCACATAAGGATCAAAAGGTCTTTTTAGGGTTGTAATGAGGCCAAGGACAGGGTAGAGGATAATGTATGGGATAAGTAACTACAAACCAGAGGAACCAGAGGAGAAATGGTGAATAAGTCAAGAATACGCACAAGAAACAAACCCTGAAACCTCTAATGACCTCTATGATAATCAATCATCTTTCTCTTGCCTCAAAAAACTTCTCTGTTTCATTTTTTTTTGAATGAGCAATACGTAGTGAACAGTACACATGAAAATTTGAAATGAGATAAGATAACATGCAGAGAAGTAAAATGTACAACATAAGGAATCAACTAGCGAATATACATCATCCAATGAAACATACACACACCCCCACACTTATTCAAGAACTTATTCCCAAAACAATTCCAAAGCTCCCAAACTCCCTAAGGTTAAGGTAATCATGGTTTTTCGCTTATGGCTTGTAATGAGCTTCAAATAAATAAGAGGAAATAGGCTCAACAGGGGTTATTAGAGGAGTTAATTCAAGGTAGGCTTATTTGGCTAGAGGTTTATGAGAATCAAAATGCCTTAATCATTTCCAAACATGCATGCGAACCAAGAAATATCAAACAGAGTTAAGCCAAGGATATTGTGCAAGCAATCAAGAGGAAAAACACACAAGAAAGAACAGAGAAGGGGTCAAAACCTCACACAAGGTAAATCTGTCACATTCAATTCACCCTCTCAAACCTCATAATCAAATTGCCAAGCAGAGAAAGATAGGGATTTCAATCCATATAATATCAAGTAACTCATATCCAAGAGTGAAGCAAGTGCCTACAAACTATCAAAACCCAGAAATCAAAGAGAAACATGCAAAACTGTACATAACACCTAAACATAAAACCTAAACCAAAAATAACAAATAAACCCTAAAAGCATATAACCAAAACAGTTCCCCCACACACTTAAATCACACATTGTCCCAATGTGGCACACACATAAGATTAGAGCAATCAGAACAATCAATAGAATTGGACATGTGTAACAAAAGTAAAGAAGGAGAAGGGGAAAGAAAACTCCCTAAGTCATGGCAGTGGGATAGAAGTGGGGTCAAGCAGAGACATCTCCTCTACAACTGCATTCAACAGGGAAAGATTGTTGAGGAAAGGTTTCAAACGGTGCCCGTTAACCTTGAAGCTTTTGTCTGTGGATTCACTTTTGATCTCAACTGTACCATAAGGAAAAACATTAGTAACAACAAAAGGTCCAATTCACTTAGAACGCAACTTCCCAACCATGAGACCAAGCCTTGAATTATACAATAAAACTTTCTGCCTAACTGTGAAGTCCTTTCTAGCTATCAAACTATCATAGAACTTCTTGGTTTTCTCCTTGTAGAACTTAGAGTTCTCATAGGCTTCCAGGCAGATCTCATCAAGCTCACCCAATTACAACTTTCTTTCCTCTCCAGCCTAATCAATAGAGAAGTTGCAGGTTTTCACAGCCCAATAGGCTCGGTGCTCTATCTCAACAGGAAGATGACATGCTTTGCCAAAGACAACCCGATAAATAGATATCCTTATGGGTGCTTTGTAAGCAGTTCTACATGCCCAGAGAGCATCCTCCAGCTTGCTGCTCCAATCTTTCCTGTTGGGCTGCACAATCTTCTCCAAGATCCTGTTGATATCCCTATTTGAAATCTCGGCTTGCCCATTAGTTTGGGGGTGGTAGGGTGTAGAAATTCTATGAACAACCCCATACTTCCTGAGCAAGGCCTGCATGGATCTGTTACAAAAATGGGTGCCCTGATCACTAACAATAACTCTGGGTACTCCAAACCTGCAAAATATGTTAGATCTGACAAAATCCACAACAACCCGAGCATCATTAGTTATGGTGGCTTTGGCTTCCACCCATTTTGAAACATAATCAACAGCCAAGAGAATATATGAAAAACCAAAAGAAACAGGAAAAGGAACCATAAAATCTATACCCCAGACATCACAGAGAAACATGGGTTGTTGAGGCATCTGCTGTCTCCAAGAAAGGGATCCTCCTACTCTCTGACATTGCTCACAGGTGCTGCAAATCTTCCACGCATACTTGAGCTGTCCTCTGAATGCCAAGATGACCACCAGGTGCAGAAGAATGACAGAAATGTAGGATCGAATCAATCTCATGGTCTGGCAAGCATCTCCTGATTACTTGATCACTGCACAACTTTCACAAATAGGGGTCATCCCAAACATAATGTTTAGCATCGCTCTTAAGTTTATCAATTTGAGCTCTAGATGCCAAAGGAGGAAAAATAGAAGCAACTAAATAATTTACAATGTTTGCAAACCAAGGCGTGGGGGAAGGAACAGAAATAGTTAACAAGTGTTCATTAGGAAAATCATCCTAAATGGGAAAAATGTCCTCATTCTCAGCTCTCTCAATCCTACTAAGATGGTCTGCCACCAAGTTTTGTGCTCCGCTCCTGTCACAGATGTCCAAGTCAAACTCTTGAAGCCAAAGCATCCATCTGATCAGCCTAGGCTTTGAGTCAGCCTTCTTTAACAGGTACTTTAGAGCTGCATGATCTATAAAAATAACGACACGAGAACCAAACAAATATGATCAAAATTTATCAAGTGCAAAAACAATAGCTAAAAGTTCCTTTTTCGTGGTCATGTAATTTGCTTGCGCAGCATCTAATGTCCTAGAAGCGTAGTATATCACCCTAGGCAATCTGTCAACCCTTTGTGCTAAGACAGCCCTAGTGCATAATTTGAAGCATCGCACATCAACTCAAAGAGAACTGTCTAGTCTGGTGCCTGAATGATAGGAGTGGTGGTCAAGGCTCTCTTGAGGCAATCAAACGCCTCCTTACACCTGTCATCAAAATTAAAATCAATATCCTTCTGTAGCAAGTTGGATAGTGGGAGGGCTTTCTTGTTGAATTCCTTAATGAAACACCTGTAGAAACCTGCATGGCCAGGAAAAGATAGCACCTCTCGCACGCAAGAGGGGTAAGGAAATTGTGAAATAACAGATATCTTTGTAGGGTCTACCTCAATGCCCCTACTAGAAATGATATGCCCTAAAACTATACCCTGCTCAACCATGAAATGATATTTCACAAAATTAAGAACAAGGTTATTCTCAATGCATCTATTGAAAACTTTATCCAAACTATCCAAACATGCATCAAAAGAGGATCCATAAACAGCAAATTCATTCATAAACACTTCTGTGCAATTTTCAAGAAAATCACTAAAAATACTAAGCATGCACCGCTGGAATGTGCCAGGGGCATTGCATAGGCCAAAAGGCATCCTCCTATAGGAAAAAGTACCAAAAGAAAAGGTGAATGTGGTTTTTTCCTGATCCTCAGGAGCAATATGAATATGAAAATAACCAGAGAAACCATCAAGAAAACAGTAATGAGATTTACCCGCCAGACACTCAAGCATCTGATCAATGAAGGGCAGAGGAAAGTGATCCTTCTGTGTTGCTTGGTTGAGCCTCTGGTAGTCAATACAGACTCTCCAACTATTTTGCACTCTAGTGGATATGAGCTCATCCCTCTCATTCTTAACAACAGTGAGGCCTGTCTTCTTGGGGACCACCTGTACTAGACTCACCCACTGACTGTCTGAAATAGGATAGATGAACCCAGCCTGTAGAAGCTTGGTCACCTCTTTCTTTACAACATCCAAAATCACCGAGTTAAGTCTTCTCTGAGGTTATCTCACTGGTTTAGCTCCATCCTCCAATAGTATCCTATGCATGCACGTGGATGGGCTAATGCCAGGAATGTCTGCCAGGGTCCAACCAATTGCCTTCTTGTGCTTCCGGAGCACATGCAACAACCTATCCTCTTGATCAGCATCAAAGGAGGTGGATATGATCACAGGAAATTTCTCATCATCCTCCAAATAAGCATACTTGAGGTTCTCTGGAAAATGCTTCAACTCTAGTGTGGGTGCTGGCTGAACATGAGAAAGAACCAAAAAAGGGAGAAGCGGTTCCACAGCCTGTACCTTAACCTGCAAGTCAGATTCTTTTGTACTTCCTACAACATGGTTAATGCATTGACTCTATAAAATCAAGACCATGAGGTACAACACCCAAAGTATCAAATTCAGATGCATCATCATAATCAAGATCACTTCCAAATTTAGATTCAGAATCAATGCATGAAAGACAATTATACAATTCAGATAAAAATGAATGCTTCTTAACATGAAAAGAATCAAAATCATGAATGTTCTCATCAACTAGATAATCAATCAATTCAGCACGAAAGACAGAATGAGCTTCAGAAGGAAATTTCATGGCATCCAAAATATTAAAATAAACAACAATATCACCAAGTTCCATAGACAAGGTGCCAGCATAAACATCAATCTTGGCCCGAGCTATTTTCAAAAATGATCTACCCAAAATGATTGGGGCGGGACCATGGGAGAATCCCTCCTCCATATCAAGAACATAAAAATCTGCAGGGAAAATAAGTTCTCCAACCCGAACCAAGACATCTTCTACAAAACCTGTGGGGTGGGCAACACTTGATGGACTCCTTCCACCAAAGGGATGATCAAACGTTCAATGGTGAAGAGAAGCTCCTTTCCAAGGCCAAGATGGTGACCTTAGAGGGTGGACGTTCCTTCAAGGGTGAGGCTAAGTGATGGTGGGCATGAAAGGTGGAGTCTTGCGCGAATAGGAGAAAGGTTGGGAGGATAGTGTTTTTGGGAGTTCTAGTTGGCTCTCTTCACCAAGTGGAGATGAAGACCATTCAAGGTAACCCTAAACTCACTCTAGGGAGGAGAT